AAAGAGTGTAAGTGGCCAAGGAGCAGGCTCCAGTTACTTGATTTACACCTATATAATTACACTAAATGCAGTGAAGTTACTACTGATTCACACCAAGAAAAGCATCAGGCTAAACACGTAGCTCCAGCTGAAGTCAGAGCGAGCCACTGCATAAGGAAGTTTGCAGGAGGCCATTTCTGTCTTGTCTGTGTCTTTGAAAAACAGAGACAGAAGGAAAGTGCTTCAGGCCATCCTCTGGCTTCAAAACATGTGCATATGCTAACTTGGAGCACCAGAAATTTATAAATGTGGAAGGTGCTTTTGAGAATGAGCTCTGAGGTGGATTCTCACCATAAATGGAACGTGACAGTGAAGAATGTACATGGTATTAAAGGTCCAGCACGCTCCTTTGTCATTTCCTAGCCTATAGTTTAAAACTATATATTGCAGAGAATAAGTTGACTCCTTCATTTCAGCTGGAAGCCTCCTACTAGCAGGCTTGCTTTTCTTAGTAGACTTTTCACAAACTTCTGATTAGTAATCTACAGATCTGTAGGACTACAGATTATAAATCTTGGCTGTAGAAGTTTTCAGATAACCCTATTCTTGTTTTTCCTTTACTGTTTTACTTAAAAATCAGGTTTTCACTATGTCTAGCATTGTTGGAAGAGGTCCAGTGTCAGTATGGAAAACAAAACGTATCTCTGGCAACTGAGTAGCTACAAAATGGACAGCAAGTTGGGAAACTTCTACCCAAGGCCCAAACAATCTACTTCCCTCATAATCAAAGAGTCAGGAAGAGAAGGACAATCATTCCCCAAACAAATTAATAAGCTTTCCAGGCGAATTTTCAGAACTGGACTCCTTGAAAATCAGTTATTCTCTTTGATCTGTAATTTTAGTTTTGACAGTTTCTGCCCTGTGTACTACAGTTCTCACAAGCAAGTTACAAATTTTCCCTCCCAAGTTACTGTACCTTGACGTAGGCAACAATTTTAAGGGAGATAGTTGCAAGATAGAGGGAGTTCATTGCAAAATCCATCAGATTCCACCAGTCATGTACGTACTCATTGAATCCACCATCCCACATTTCCTTGATTTCTCCCCAGATAAAACCTGTAGAAAGAAAGAGGGTTCACTGTCATGATGAGGTATTATTTGCCACTAAAGCATTGTGTATAACTCATGTAATAAAAGATAATTCTAAATTAACAGCTTGGAAAAAATGTCTCATTTCTCCTGTCTTCTACAAAGTATAATACTGCTGATTATGAGACATTTTACAACTCTGTGGGGAATGTAGTCTAGAGAGATATGAGAAAGACCTAGGTTTCCTATCCGGGGCTCCAGATACACACACAAGGATAGTGCTTGAAACATACATTAATTATAACCAGTATGAGTGGATTGGCTCAGATGAAATTTGTTCTATGTGAATAAACTATTCAAGCAACTGTATTTGGTATAGTTTCTAATAGATTGTCTGCTCTCATATAAACTGTAAGTAATTCATTGCTCAGTGGACAGTACTGATTTTTCCTGACTTTCTCTGCAGAACATACACCACTAGTACCAGCTTCTGTGTGCTGGCACATTTCCTCCCTGATCTGGAAATATCACACTACAGAAGGAAGAAGTGAATGCACTCTCTATGCTCAGTCACTGTATTTCTGCATCTTGCTGCACAAAAAGCCCATAGGGACTATTTGCAAGAAAAGGTAGGACTCGGCACGAAAAACAGCACTGCAGCCTGGCATCGCATCTCTAGCAATGACTCACCTACTGTCAAATATGGCTATGGGTTTTGCAAGGTGAGTATTTGTTCCCGAGGATACAGCCAGAGCCCATCATCTCAACTCTGAAATGCTTTCTGGTATTAATTTGTGGCACTTGTAAACCTTCACTACACCCCCTTGCAGCTGGAGGGGTGAGTGGCAGCTTCTGAAGTTCATTACCAGACTGCTAAACTCACCTGGCAACCAATTCTAATTTGCAGTAACTTCTATGTCCTTTCTTGTAGAACTGTTTAAGTATTTTTGAGAGCCTGTCCCATTAAAAAGCAAACGGCAGCTAGGCTTCTTCATCACCTACATGCTTCTGAGAATGTCTTTAGAGCCCCCAGATATTTTGAATTACCCAGATTACAACATTATCCTTGAATGAAGACCTGAAACACATGTGAAATTCAAAAAACAAAACAAAACAAAACAACCCCTCCAGGTGCATTACCAATATGGTCACCCAAATTGCTACCCATACCTAACCACAGGATACTGCAGTCGTCACTGAAGTGCCACCTGCAACTCAAGTTTTAGGACCTGAAAGTTCAATCTGAAGAGCAGATAATGTTGAAATGAACTGCTGCAAACGTCCAAATACCAATCTTAGCTCTTCACCTGCCAGCCAGCAGGTTAATGGTCAGGCAAGCATTATGTCAAGGCCAATAAGGTAATTTTATTAAAGCTGCCTCCAAATCTTTGCATGCACACGTAGACATAAAATAAAATAAATCAATGGAAAGGAGCCTGTTGGAGAACTTATACACTGTATTTATAGTGAGTTATCGTTGTTGGTTACTATAGTTACAGCAATGCTGTGTGTGCCTGTTCTCTCTCTCCTTTTATAGTGGAAGATATTTCTTAAATAATAACCTTTAATCTGGTGACACTATTCTAACTGCTCCATTTAATAAACAGTCCCATAATATTCCTATTTATCTGAAACAAAGGAACTCAAAAAGAAGAGCAGACAGCTGTAAGATGATTTTGAAAGGGTTTTTTTAACAGATTAACCTTCTTTCATCTGCAAATCAATTTTGCTGAAATGCCTACCATTTCCCTCAATTTTAACCATGAAGTTAAGGATAAAGTGAAGAGATCACCTAAGCTCAGAAAAGACATTTAACCTTCTCAGCTTATTCTGAAGTTTCTACCAACACATGCATTTCAATGCCATAAATCAGTTTAATAAGATAATCAGGTTTGAGTTACGATTTGTAAGTAGTGGTGGAGCTATGCAAGGAGCAAAGTGCCCTGGGTCACACTGGAAAGTGATTTGTGAACATGTTTGCAACTCTTACTTTGTTTCCTTGTTTTCCATCAGCGGTTTGAGGTTTGGCATGGGGCTAGGTTTGCTCAGCACAGAACCAGCCTGATCCAGAGCCGCCACAGAAACAAGGAGTTGGGGCCCAGTGTTACCAGGAGAGGAACCAGCAGGCACAGGAAAGCAGAGCTGGACCCGTGAGCAGCACTGAGGAGCCAGAAGGAGAGCTTCAGAGGCTGAGGTTTGTGAGAGGTGTCCTCACAAAGGATCAGTGCGGCTTCCCAGGCTGCTGACCTGGGAAGTCACAATTCACTGCTACCTAACCTCTGGGGTTTTGCACTGAAATGACCCGGGCTGTATGGACAGAGGCTGGAGGAGAACTAGAAAGGTGTGGAAACCGTTGCCCATGAGCAGGCCTGCTAGTGAACAAACCAGCTCAAAATGGTGCTACATGTTAATGGCACAGCAAGGGAGACGGGAGCTTAATTAGAGGAGATATCATGCTTCTAATGGAGTCCATAGGTTTTCACCTGCTGTTGTGTTAGAGCTCAGTTTGAAAGGGTAAATACTTCTCTCCCATCAAAAATATATCCAACTATGCTTCTCTGCTCTTCTCTCTCAGTGGCTCTATCCGCTTTTTCCCATCCCCTCTCCCTACCTCACCCATACATCCTGACCTCAGGAACATAAACGCCTTCTTTTCTTCACAGTTGTTGCCCAAGCCAGAATGGAGTAAGAGCCTCACGTTTAACTTTCTGATAATAAATACTCCCTCCTTCTCCTGCTTATATTAGAGCGCTCGATATTGATTTGGTTAATCAGCACAGAGGCATAAGGCAGAGTGAGATTTATCTTCCCTTTTCTGCCTTCCTGTAGGCTATCTGGGAGTCTGGGAGCCCAGGAACAAACAGGTCTGGTACCTGCACACTGGCTCCAGGAGCAGATCAGTGAGAAGGCGATCGGCGCTGCCTCCTGCCATGTACCAGCCAGCAGAACTAAGTCAGCATCAGAAGCAACGCCATTTGTTACTAGCACGACCCAGAAGCTAATTCCTAACCTGTTCCTCACACAGAGCATGGGGGAAGCAGGGAGGGAGCTATGTCTGCTGCAGTTTACTCAGGGTCGTGTCTAAAGGCATGTCAGATGGCAATATGAACAGCAGAAAAGCCCTAGGCCGACAGGATCTGTTGTTCCAGAATGAGCCCAGCTGTTCTGTGCAGTTACTGAAGCTGGCTGCCAAATTTCTTTACATGCTGATGATGCTGAGATCAGGAATGGGTCTCTGCACCGTTGCCACGGGTGCGAGTCAGGCGTCTGTGGCTCTGGCATTTTTGTGTTTCTGATTTACCTAGAACCCAGGGCAGGATCATCCACTCCACGATGGTGGGAGGTGGCCCCTGCATGTGAAGGTCCGTCCTGACGATGTGCTGCGACGCCAGCAGGAGCATGAAGAGGAAGGTTAGGTAAGAGCCGGTGTGGCAGATAAACTTTATAAATGGCTTTTTAATGAACAGTCCCAGCCTGCTCTTCGGTGCAATCAGATATGCCACGGATAGCACAGGAAATAGCAGTCCAATGGTGACACAGGTCAAGAGTTTTACTGCCCAGTGTTTCCGCCTCCATCCTGGAAAACCGTCATACCAAAGGGTTGCTAGTAGCTGCTGGCAGTTTGGCTGAGCAACAAACTGAGGAGGAAAATAAAAAAGAAAGATTATTACTGACTGGTACTTCGTGTGCACTCCCCTTCACGTATGTGTTAGAGCCCACACAGACCTTCTTATTAAGTTTGGGGCTGGCTGTGGGGTGGAAACGCATATTTTGGAGACAGAGGGAAGAAAGGACAGATATTTCGCTCTTATTTTTCTACATAGGATTTAAGATTTCTTCGATGAGGTCTTCTTCTATCTGACGCATCCTTATGTAGGTCAGTCACTCTCCACACATGCAGCCTCATGCAAAAGTGATACAAAGAAAATTACTATGAGCTTTTTCTCCTCCCATGTGTTTCTGTTTCAGCACGTTTCTTTTCCGAATGTTTCAGGTTTCGACTGGCTCAAACAAATCAGTGTCAGCATCTTTAAGAAGTGACTAAAAGATGAGACAGGAGGGAAAAGGTGTAAAGCTCTGCGAGTGTGTGTGAGAAAGGGAGAGAGAACGTCTCCAGAAGTGTGTGGGGTGCTGCACATGGTTTTGTGCAAGGAGGCCAGCGCATGTGTGTGTGGGATGGGCTGGGCATGAGACAGCATGCAGTGATGTGAAATTCAGCCAGGTGACATCTGCTGGGAAGCAGGACAGCACATTTGTAAACGTGCCCTGCTATTAAGGAAATGAGTGGTTGTAAAATGTGAGAGATGAAGCAGAGACAAAAAGAAACCTTTGATCACAGTACCAAAAGTGACACTTGAAAGTCTACTTTCACTCTGTAAAAAATAGCATTAGAACGGTGATTTATTGCATCTCGGTGACTCTATACCAGACATGCCCCGGCTGCAACTACTTCAGACTGTTTTAATACTGAGCAGTCCTTGGAATTTCACACTCAAGCCAAAATATTTCCGATCTATGCCAGAAGACTTTATGTTCCTGATTATACCTGGACAGCCCCATGGTTTTCAAAACTTTTCAGACCCACAACTAATTATAGAGATGTCTGCAAGACCAAGACAACTGTGTTTATCTTTACATATTTGATTTCTAATCCATCTTAACGAACTCGTACTTCTGATCTACTAAATACAGATTTCTCACTGGGCTCTGCAGGTTCAAAAGAAAATCTCAGCTGTTGTTCTGAGGTTGCCTATTACACATATTTTGCTGTAATTAGATCAGAAAAACTGTCCTAGCAGGGATACAGTTATCAATAAACACATTCCTGTAACAATGTAACTGCTATGTTCTATGATCAGACACAGCTACATCAGAAAGAATCACACTTCCTATGGACACCACAGTACTAGCAGCATTTATCAAGAAGAAGAGACCTTTTATAAAGGAGACTCCAATCGGTGAGTGACCTGAAGATGACAGTAGTGTTTATTACACTTGACTTATCTGTATTTAAAAGGGATCTCTAGGAGGGATGTAGTGCCACCACGCTGCTCTTCCTCCTCAGGGAAGATTTCATCAGGAAAACCACTCTTTCACCACCAAAATTTAAAATCAGCTCTGGAAGGATGATGCCATGGTAGCAAGGGATCCAGCTTCAGAATACAAGAGTCTCACTGTTTTGCCACCCCAAATCGGTATGATTTTTCAGCCCTGGCAGAAGCCCCTGTGTAGACACTACTGCATTCGGTGTAGACAGGGCCTGGGCTAATACTGAATCAGCCACCACATGTGCATTTATGAGACAGTTGGGAGGCTCTTCTCATCATGTCTAAAGATACCTAGGACTCCCCGTAGTTCTTAGTCACCAGGAGATCAGTACGGTATGAAAGAGACAATTTCTTAATAAAAGCTTTAGCACACACCCATATCTTTAAAATATTCGTTCACTGCCAAAACTGCCCAATATTGGGAGGACTCTTCATGCGCAGTTCTCAGAGTGCTCTATACAAGCAGAGCACCGGTCACTGCCACGTTCAAAATGACTAAACGAAGGTCAAGCGGAAGGAAAAATCAGTTACTCAGTCTGATAAAGTCATTAATTTCTGTAGGTATTTTTAGATTTTATATATTTTATACAAACATAGAATAGTTTGGGTTGGAAAGGACCTTTAAAGACCACCTAGTCCAAACCCCCTGCAGCGAGCAGGGGCACCTTCAACAAGACCAGGTTGCTCAGAGCCCCGTCCAACCTGGCCTTGAATGTTTCCAGGGATGGGGCAT